TTTTAATGAAAAACATGTCAAGTAGAACAGTAATTTTGCCGCTCGTGTTTTTTAAAATATTTGTCACACCTAAACATGTGAAAAAACAAAAACGAGAAAATGTGTAATTTATTTACAGATATGTAGCAAAAAAAAACAACAAAAAAAACGCACAACACTGACTCACCGTATCTTTTTTTTTTTATCTTTTTAACGTTATGTTCGCCATTCCCTCCAGGAACTGCATTATCTTTTCTCACGATTGCAACATGTACTTTCTACTACTCATACTTCTGCACAGTCTTCAGCATTACTGCGTGATTCTTGCCACCCCTCGTTTGTGCTTCTCTCTCTCTCTCTCCCCTCTCATTCGCTGGCTCGTCCGCCCGCCCGCCACATGGAAGCTGTTAACGGCGCTGTCGTTGCTCGCGCTCACCACCGACATTCCTGTGGCCTTTGCGGCGCTGGCTGACTTTGCGTCAACCTCTCGCGCCTCTCCGCTCGTCCGCGCCGCTGCCCTGGTGTTGCAAGCGCTCCTCTTGACATGTGACTTTTCGCACTTGATGCTGGATAGAAGATTTTTTTTTTTTTCTTTTCACAAGTAAACACCAAAGTGCATTTTGCCTCACACACGTCCACATCGCTGATTATCAAGGCGGAGTAGCGTAGCCGCCAACTCTATGCTGTGACACCCACGTCACTCACCAGGTTGAGAGCACAGGTGTCAAAGTCAAGGCCCGGGGGCCAGATCTGGCCCGCCACATCATTTTATGTGGACCGCGAAAGCAAATCAAGCATGTCAAGTTCTATGATGCCTGCTAAAGTCTGAACCAAAATTTCAAAGTGTCATATGTAATCCACAATAACAGTCATGATTCTTGACTTCTGATTTTAAAACTAGTTATCCATCAATTTGTTGTGCGCCGTGTATGTAATATGTGGAGGTGATTAAACATTTATATGGTTTCCCAAAATTTATAAAGGCCCTCCACGGGAAACCGTAATTACAATGTGGCCCGCGAGAAAAATGAGTTTGACAGCCCTGGTTTTAGAACCACACACATTCAAAGTCACAGATACTACAGTGCAAATACAAAACTAAAATATTCAACAATGTCATGACTGTCATATCCACAACACAAAATGCAAAAACCACAAACATACCAAATGACTTATTTTTTTCCTCTTGCCGCTGATCTTTCCGTCCCTTGTGTAAATGTAACAATGTTCATAAACATGCTGATCTTTACAAGAGAAACGTTCTGAAGGATCTGGGCCAAGCCTCGCCCTCAACTCTCATCAATTTCCATGACAAGTCTCTCGTTGCTGCTCCAAACGTTGGTCCATCACACTCAAAGAGCACTTGTGCTCTTTTTTTTCTCCAGGGTACATGCTTCTTTAATGAAGACTCTAATAACCATTATGGATATTTAAAGCCGGCTGTCCGACCTGCACACTAATGGACAGCGGGCGGAGCATTCCGACATTAACGTCATGAATTATTTAAACCGAGGATTTTCCAGGGATAAAAACTTGAAATGAATCACATCACACTCACCAGAGACGCAAATGTGGCAGACCTCGCCCACTCGCTACTTCTACGTAAGCGAACTGCCCCTGCTCCCAGTGACCCCCCCCCCAAAAAAATCAATTTCAAGGTTAAAACGAGCCACCCAGCATTGCTGTTCATTGACCTAGCAACATAAATTCCTGTTTTTCTTGACACGTGCAAATGAAGTTTTAATCCTGTCCGACATCTCCCTGCTTTGTTAATCAATCCTTGAAGCACAACCAAGGGCTAAAAACTCATTCGTCACTCACAGCCTTCATGAAGGTGAAGGTGAGTGGTGAAACTAAAATCTGAGTGTGTGTGTGTGTGCGTGTGTGCGTGTGTGCGTGTGTGTGTGTGTGTGTGTGTGTGTGTGTGTGGGCGGCATCGATATTCTGAATGCACTGGGAAAGATAATATGTTATCTGATTGGATAAAAAAAAATAATAATAATAATAAATGAATAAATACCCACAAAGCCAAGACGCGTGCAATGAAATGAAGACAAAACAATGGAAATAAATAATAACTTATTTACCCGTCGTTCTGTAATGGTGTTAATTGAAATTTTCTGTAGCGTAAATACAAGCGGTATCGGTACTTGGTATTGGTGAGTCCTCGATTGACTACAGGTATGTATTTGGAGTGGGCCACGCTAGCTTGAATGGAACGCTACCTGCTGCATATCGTGCAGTCAGGTTAAAACAAACATTTGCGAAGGAATAGCGGCTGCCGTGTCAAAGAGGGAGGAATCGAACGCGTGTTCCTATGTATTACATATTCCGCAGCATCTGTTCCCCATTACACTTCTCTGATTGCCGCAGCAAAACATCGGAAAACGCTCGCAGCTGCTTCTTGCTTCGTGTCGTTGCTCCACTACAGCCACTGATTCAAGCCAGGTCTCAGGCCTGGAATAATATTTCTCAAAGTTGCCCCCTTTTTTTAATTTTTTTATTTTTTTTACATTTCCCCTCTTCATCCTTAACGCAGGCATTTTTATTATTGTTATTATTATCCCAGGAGATGGGGAAACATGTCAGAAAGTTAATTTAAGGATGTTTGCTTGTGTCAGCGTTTAAAAATGATGCGTGAGCTGGTTCGCACACGAATGAGCTTCACGGTTGCACATTTGACGCCCCCCCATAAAAAAATAAATAAAATAATTCAAGCGTGAATGATTATTTCATGTTTTGTTTGGTAATGTAATGTACAAAAATTGCCTTATTTTCCGTATTTTCTATAATTTATTTAAATTCCTATTTTCAAATGTACATTTTATATGTTATTACTCATTTCTTCAGCAGTCGATCGCGGTCCTGAGCTCCCCCCGCATCTCCCCTGGCCCCAATCCCCACCCGCTCCCCTGCTGTGCATCTGACATTGTGTGTACATTAAAAGTGTGCGCCTGTGTATGTGTCTGAAATTACACCATGAGATTAGAGTGGACAGCTTTATGCGGATGGGACGCTATAAATCTAACCAGGCCACAAGAAAAGATCACCCTGGTCATTTATTGTTCCCTAATAGAAACCTACTTTGTTGGCTCCGCCTCCCGCCAGGCTGTGATGCGTTCAAGGATGAGGAAACTTGACGTGGTATTTAAGGTCACTGTATGGTTCCTATGCAAGTGTGGAAAGTTTGGAATTTGATCTTAGACACTGTTTAGGTGCCATATTACCTACCAAGCGTCTTCTGTCTGGTGATTCGGGGCCTGGAAAAAGGATAGAATTTAAAAATTTCAAATGTATAAGGGCCCTGTGATTGTGCCTTGTGGATTCTCATCTCTTCGGGCCCACCTGACACACACACACACACACACACACACACACACACACACACACACACACACACACACACAACCACACACACACACACCAACACCACA